TCCATCAAGTTCAACCGGGTGCCATCCACATTACATTAACAAGGCCCTTAATCCCACATTCTTTGATTTTTGTTAAATATTGAATTCTATTTAAAGTACCTTCCTTATTCCAGACAAGTTTAAACATATTCTGACTTGCATGTTGCACCACAAATGTAAGTTCCGTTGTGATCTTTGCAGTGTTAAGTTTGCTCCACTGCACCTTTAAGTAAATTGAAATGCTACAAGGAGATTGTTACCATAAGTATGTGTTGTGTTGTTATGCGTTTAACATTACATAACTATTTAGCATAGGGGAATACCTCAAGCAGCCCTTTCAGTATGCCAAATTCCATTTTCCTCTAACTTAGTTAATGGTACCAATATGGACCATTGGTCATCCTCAGCCTCTCCACTAATCTATTCAGTTAGCTAGAAACATGCTGAACCTTAGCACCTGAGGATCAAATTGTCAGATTACTCTGATTAGTCGCTTAAGAATATAATCTCCTCCCACAACAACTTGCCCAGCCTTTCCTCCATTCTGGATCCCATCCATAGTAGCTTATCCCTTGCTGTTAGAAGGAGTAGCTTCCTCCAGCACAGCCACTCCTGAGATAATAATCCAAACATCTTCACTCATTTAAAACTGCTCTGCTGTACAAAATCAGGACAACTGTCTACACCTTTTCTCTTGCCTCCCACTACTCAACCGTTCCTGTCACACAGTTACCTGCCTGTTCCACAGCTGGCTCATCTCCTTACATTTTCCATTCTGTTTGTCCCCACTAAACTACACGCAGTGAGCAGTAAGCCCCTTTCAAGGTTGTCAATGTGCCTCAGGTTTGCAATTTGCTTCTTCTGATCTACAATCTGAGCTTCTAGAGAACATTTGCTATATATATATATATATATATATATATATATATATATATATATATATATATATATATATAGTGTTCAAGTAGAGATTGTAGCCGTATTAGTCCAGTGATGTAGATGTAAAAAACAGATAAAATTCTTATCTTGTAATACCTTTTTTATTGGACTAACAGAATTTTTTAATGACAAGCTTTCGGGAGAACCTCCCTTTCTCAAGTCTGAAGCATTTCTGAGCAAAACGACACATAGAATTCAAAGTTGAGTTGTGATACAGGGGTTAAAGCGACATGAGTGTAGATAAGACACAGGTTTGTTAGAAAATAGACACCATCTTAGCAGAGGGTCATAAATATCTTGTTGAAGAGAAGAGTAGGGGGGAGAGAGAGAAAAGAAAAACAAACAAGCAGACAGTGCACAGGATGATACACTTTATACATGCACACACACAGAAATATGTATATGTGAATGCATAAACACATGTACATATACATAAACACATATACATACATGCACATGGACTCATATACACAAATATAAATGCACAGTAATATATATAAGCATTCATGCATACGAGTATGGGAAAGCATAGGTCTACACATAGTACTTTGTATATGGATAGAATAAACATATAGGAATGCATTTTAAAGTGTTGGTACATATGACAGAATAGTAAGATAATGCTGGGAGAGTGTTCATGTAAAGTGTTGGTAGTGGGACAGGAATCCCAAATCAATATTTAGTCCTCTCTTCTTGCTGTTAAACCATTTAATCATTCTGGCTTCAAAGGCTTTTCTTTCCTGGGTATTTTTAAAAACCCCTTTCAGTACTTTGATTTTTAGGTCCTTCAGTGAGTGGCCAGGCTGGGTAAAGTGGTGTCCCACAGGAGTGCAGTATGATTCTTCTTTGTGGTGTTTAATAGAGTGTCTGTGCATATTCATTCTGCCATTTAATGGCTGGGTGGTTTCCCCAATGTAGCATCCTAGGTGGCATTTTATGCATTGAATCATGTATACCACATTGCTGGATGTGCAGGAGTATGAACCTTTAATGCTGTAGGTTTTATTGTTGTGTGTGGCTGTGTTGTCTGTGCATATGTGCTGACACAGTTTGCAGCGAGGTTTTTTGCACTGACTGGTCCCGTTTTCTTCGTTCTCACCATCAGTGGGCAGCCTCCTGTTGATTAATTTTTGTTGGAGGTTTGGTGGTTGTCTGAAGGCCAAAATGGGTGTTTCAGGGAAAATGTTTTTCAGAGTCTCATCTTCTGTTAATATTGGTTGTAGGTCTTTGATGATTTTCTGTATTTCCTCAAGAGCAGGGTTGTAGGTGACCACAAGTGGCACTCGTGTGCATATTTTTTTCTCTCTGTATTGTAGCAGGCGCATACGTGGCGTTTTTACAGCAGAGTTGATTTGTTTGGTAATAGTCTTTGGTTTGTTTCCTTTCTGTCTCATAGATTGGGAGAGTACATTTAGATGGGAATTACGGTCATTAGGATCAGAGCATATGCGATGGTACCTAGTGGCTTGGCTGTAGATGATGCCCTGTTTAGTATGAGAGGGGTGGAAGCTGGAGCTGTGTAGGTAACTGCACCTGTCTGTGGGTTTTCTGTAAACCGAGGTGTGGATTGTGCGTTCACATATACATATTTCTGTGTGTGTGCATGTATAAAGTGTATCATCCTGTGCACTGTCTGCTTGTTTGTTTTTCTTTTCTCTCTCTCCCCCCTACTCTTCTCTTCAACAAGATATTTATGACCCTCTGCTAAGATGGTGTCTATTTTCTAACAAACCTGTGTCTTATCTACACTCATGTCGCTTTAACCCCTGTATCACAACTCAACTTTGAATTCTATGTGTCGTTTTGCTCAGACTTGAGAAAGGGAGGTTCTCCCGAAAGCTTGTCATTAAAAAATTCTGTTAGTCCAATAAAAAAGGTATTACAAGATAAGAATTTTATCTGTTTTTTACATCTATATATATATATATATATATATATATATATATATGTAAAAAACAGATAAAATTTGTATCTTGTAATACCTTTTTTATTGGACTAACAGAATTTTTTAATGACAAGCTTTCAGGAGAACCTCCCTTTCTCAAGAGGTGATTTTTTGCTTTAATTTGCAAGTTATAGGGCTATAAGTACAAGTAGGAAATTGCTGTTTCAAAACGTACATTTTTCAAATGTATCAATAGTGACATTGTAACACTGTTATGTCATAAATCTCCAAAAACACCC